ATTTACAAGTAGGGACCACTCCCACTTTTGAAACTTATATTGGCCAGAGTTCTTGGTGTGCTTTTTTCTTCTATATTGATTAGGGCTGAAGATCTCCTTTCATTCTTAAAAATACTCTGTGTGTTGGATTTCCCATCTGTAAACAAAATGCCTTCAGTTCATGGAAGGCCCCGAGATCCAGTGGGATTCCCTGCAGGGGGAGTGGAGGAAGTGATTTTTGCCACATTTCCCCTTTCCTGCCTGCCATCTTACAACCCTTTGGAGCAGATTTTCTTGGGGCTGTGGGGAGATGGATGAATTGCCTCCCCTCATCCTTCCTCCTCTGTAAGCTGAATTGTGATGATTCCAAATCTGGATCAAACTCTATGTAAATGACTTTCATTGTTCTCTGAATAATTGGTGCCACATTTAAAAAAAATCAAATTATCCTTTGTAACATGTCTTTTTTATTTCATTCTTGTGAGGTGTCAAGTGATTTGGCCCTTTTATTCCTCCACCTACATATCTTAAATGTGCTTCTTATTACTGTCACTGTGGGCGTAGAAATGTCATCCCCTTGGCACTTAGTGTGCCTGATAGCTTTTAGTTGAGGTGTGACTAACTCTCCAGTGATCACAGATGCTTGCGTAGCAATATCTCAGAATTCTTTCAGTGACTCTTGCTTCCGTGTAACACATTTAGAATGGGATTTTAGGGATGCCAAAACACCTATGGATACTTTCCTCCTGACACAAACATAAACAAAATCCCATTCTGTAGTGGGATGGCATGTTTGTCATTGCTGCTGAAAACTGAATATAAGATGTTAATAATACTGTGTGGATTTGTCTCTTCACTCTCAGTATTGCTGACCAGTAGATACATCTACTTTAGTTAAGTAGCTTTCTTTTTTTGCATTTTCATAGTTACAGCAAAATCAACTGCATTTCTTGTTTAGTCTAGTAAATAGCTAATCTCTTCATCATTTTTAGAGGGGAGAACACATTTATTGCATGTGCTGACTCCTACTTTGCAGAAGATTATTTATGTATTTGTTTATTTGAGGGCTGCTGAAGGACATTGCCAAAAGCAGGTGGGATATGGAGAGACAATGACACTTTGGGGGCAGTTTCCTACTTCCTGATTGGAGAGAGACCTGAAGGAGCTGAGCAACAAAAAACACTTTTTTTTACCCCAGTGGGAATAAAATAATAATAATAATAATAATAATAATAATAATAATAATAATAATTAATAATAATAATTTATTTATACCCTGCCCATCTGGCTGGGTTTCCCCAGCCATTCTGGGCGGCTTCCAACAAAATATTAAAATACAGTGGTCTGATAAACATTAAAAGCTTCCCTAAACAGGGCTGCCTTCAGATGTCTTCTAAAAGTCTGGTAGCTGTTCTTCTCTTTGACATCTGGTGGGAGGGCGTTCCACAGGGCGGGTGCCACTACCGAGAAGGCCCTCTGCCTGGTTCCCTGTAACTTGGCTACTCACAGTGAGGGAACCGCCAGAAGGCCCTCGCAGCTGGACCTCAGTGTCCGGGCAGAACGATGGGGGTGGTGGAGCAACAACTTGGTTTTTTGGGGGGGGGTTGTTTGTTTTTTGAGTTTGAGCAAGTGGCTACTCTCCTCCCTCTAAGGCAGGCATGGGCAAACTCGGTCCTCCAGATGTTTTGGGACTACAATTCCCATCATCCCTGACCACTGGTCTTGTTAGCTAGGGATCATGGGAGTTGTAGTCCCAAAACATCTGGAGGGCCAAGTTTGCCCATGCCTGCTCTAAGGGTATCTCTAAATGGAGCAGTGCCCTGGATGGCCATGAAATTTTACAATGTCCCCTGAGATCTGTTTGCTGGTGGTAACGGAGCATGACTCTCCTTCCACAGAACTGGCAGGCCCAAAAAGAATTTGAGGTAGTAGTGTTCTACTTAACTCTTGCAAATGGTATATCTTTCAAGGGTCTTTGGGAGGGGGCCTGAAGGAAGTAGCAGTGGAACCTTGCACCCTCTTTATTCTGCGGTGGCCAGGCATCTGACCATGCAAGAAGTAAGCAAGTGCCCCAGCATCTCAGATCCGTGGTGTGTCTGCTGTGGTCTTTAGCAGGTGCCCATCATACTAACCCTGTTAACATTTGTTTGGGTACAAGTTGCAGTGTAAGCACAGATAGTTCTAATCAGCATTTATCAAAGCTGTTTGATCAGTGTAGTTTAAGAATGGAACAGGACTTGATAGGTAGGATGTGGCCTGGTCCCTCCATGTGTAGCAGGATATTTATTCAGCCACAGAACTCGCTTTGAGGAGTATAAATAGACTCTAGAGAAGTGAAGAGTCTGTACTTGTTAGATGAAATATCTACCAGTGATTTGAAAGCAGAAGTTTCTATGTTAATTACAAAGGGCTTGAGGGCCCGAATAGCCAGTGTAATGAAGGCATGTCTGCCACTAATAATGAAAGCTTTGGACCTACTTCCTTCTGTAATGCCTGCTGTGGAACCCAGGGATTTCCCTCCGCTTTGTTGGTCGCTGCTCTTGGAGGCTGAGGAAATTCCCTCTTTCCAGCTGTTTCACCCCTTACTATTTTTTTCAAAAGCAGATTGATTTGCTTGGGAATTATAAACCACTGAGCCTTGGGCTTGCCGATCGGAAGGTCGGTGGTTTGAATCCCTGTGATGGGGTGAGCTCCCATTGTTCAGTCCTGGCTTCTGCCAACCTAGCAATTTGAAAGCACTCAGTGCAAGTAGATAAATAGGTGGGAAGGTAAACAGAGTTTCCATGCGCTGCTCTGGTTCGCCAGAAGCGGCTTAGCTATGCTGGCCACATGACCCGGCAAAACTGCGGACAAATGCCGGCTCCCTCAGCCTATAGAGCGAGATGAGCGCCCCAACCCCAGAGTCGTTCGCGACTGGACTTAACTGTCAGGGGTCCTTTACCTTTTTAATTAGATAATCTGTTTGAAAATAACTTCTGCATAAAAATGTGATAGTATACTGCTTAGTTTTCCTGAAATTGTCAAAGCTGCTGCTAATAAGGGGACTAGCCATAGAACCAAGGGAGAAAAAGATGAGGACGTCTGATGGACTTGCTTCAGATTGAATGTGGAAGAAGAGTTTCTTCATCGTCCACTAAATTGCAGGAAGGTGTATTGCTTTTAAAGAGTTAAGAAGAAATACTGCTGCCGGTTTCTTTCCTTCCAAGAATTAAGAAGGTGACCTTTGTAAAGTATGTGCTTGTTTTGAAGACTGGCCGTGCGTTTGCATGAGTCAGAGCTTTTCGAAAGGCCCATTTTCATGCTGAACATAAACTTATCATCCAAACAAAGATGAATTGCCTTCCAGAGGAGATGGAGAAAGAAAGAAAATGAAAATATACAAGCAGCTATGGTGGTCCTGAGACACAGTTTTTGCACTGTTCTTACGAAAACAAACCATGGCGCTTTCTGGCCTATAGAGAAAGTTGAAATGGTGACTCACTTGCTGCTGTTGCAGTGTAGCAGAGCTAGTACTATACAGTGGTACCTCGGGTTACAGACACTTCAGGTTACAGACTCCGCTAACCCAGAAATAGTACCTCGGGTTAAGAACTTTGCCTCAGAATGAGAACAGAAATCGCGCGGCGGCAGCACAGCAGCAGTGGAAGGCCTCGTTAGCTAAAGTGGTGCTTCAGGTTAAGAACAGTTTCAGGTTAAGAACGGACCTCCAGAACGAATTAAGTTCTTTACCAGAGGTACCACTGTTTCCACAGATCCACACCATCCCTTTAAAGCACTTAGACCACTTTAACAGTCCTGGCTCCTCCCATAGGATCCTGGGGAGATTCTTAATGGTGCTGTTCCCCACACCGTTGACAAGCTACAGCTTCCAGGATTCTGCATAAATCTTAAAGTGGCACAAGAGTATTTTAAATATGTCGCAAGATATAGGACATAAATATACAATTTGAGGATTGGGAAAAGTTGTGGAGGGTGGATTTGAAATTTACAGATAGTTCTCTCTTGAAAGAAAACTATATGAAAATGATCTATGGATGGTATATCACACCAGTATAAATGGAAAAAATGTACAAAACTGGGTCAAATACATGTTGGAAATGGAAAGAAAAAGAAGGTACTTTGTACCATATGTGTTGGGAATGTAGAGAAGTTAAAAATTTTTGGGAGATGATACATAACAAGTTGAAAAAAAATGTTTAAAATGACATTTGTAAAGAAACCAGAAGCGTTTTTGTTAGGGATTTTAAGACGAAACCTGCCAAGAAAAACAAATAATCTATTTATGTATGCAACAATAGCGGCAAGAGTCTTGTTAGCACAAGGTGGAAGAATGAGGAAACCGCAATGAAGAACAATGGCAAGAAAAACCGATGAGTTATGTGGAGTTGGCAAAGTTGACATATAAATTACGTGAGAAGGACAATCGTGACTTCAAGGAAGAATGGGATCTTTTTACAAACTATCTAAAAAAACAACAAAATGATTTGGACTCCTTGACAGGTTTTGAATAAACATCCACAAATTTATTACTAGAATATATGACAGATAAGGCAAAGATATGTACAATTTTTAACATGCAGAGAATATGTTCAAACAAATCAGAGTGGGGAGCTGAGGGAAGTCTTTAGCGGATGGGAGAGGGAGGGGGGGATAAAAGGGGGGGAAGTACCTTTTTTTTTTTTGGCTCTATAAGACTCACTTTTTCCCTCCTAAAAAGTAAGGGGAAATGTGTGTGCGTCTTATGGAGCGAATGCAGGCTGCGCAGCTATCCCAGAAGCCAGAACAGCAAGAGGGATTGCTGCTTTCACTGCGCAGCGATCCCTCTTGATGTTCTGGCTTCTGAGATTCAGAATTTTTTTTTTCTTGTTTTCCTCCTCCAAAAACTAGGTGCGTCTTGTGGTCTGGTGCGTCTTATAGAGCGAAAAATACAGTAATTGGTTATTTTGACTGATAATTTGTTTTGTTAATAAAAATATATATATATTTTTAAAAAGAGTATTTTAAATATGTTGTGTGCCTGTGACCAAGATCCAGTTTGGGTTAACTAATTTATTACTAATGCCAGGTGCAGCATCATTGTTTGTAAAGAGCTGGAGATTTGACTTGCATTCCTGAAAAACTGAGTTTCAAGCGTCAGTGAGTACGTGATCTGCTCAAGCTGTGCAGGTGGCCCAGTGGTGGTAGATGGGGCCAGTCTCAATGCTCCTTTAGTAAACGCAAGTCTTTTTTTGCCTGCCTTCTGTAGAGACTGTGATGGAGGAACCAGAGGAGCTCTTTGAAGAACTTCTGGAAAGAGCAAAAGCTGGGGAACCTAAAGCACAGACAGAGGTAATTTTTCCTGGTTGTCACCTACCTGTATAGCTCTCTTTAAATAGTGTTGGATGCCCTTTTTCTAATTATAGTTTAAAGTCTTATGCTGTAGTTGTAACTTTATAGGATTATAAATGGCGTTGCGCTGAATTTTCAGAGATTCCATTTTTACTACAGAAGCTTGCAATTTGGAAAGATGTGAAACACAGGAGGGAAAGCATCTATTCCAGTCGTGGGGTAGCACCAGTCTTTTCCCCCACGGCCCAGGTGAGGGCTGACCAGGACTTCATCCTGTCTTTGACTTAGAGCAACATATTTGGTCACTCCTACCCAGCTGTGTTACATCAAACACAGGAATAGATGTCAGCCGGGTTCGTTTTGAAAGGAATCCTTGGTTCGCTGGTACTTTTCTTTCAATATGAAGTATTCTATGGAATATGGCTGTTCGTAAGGAGAACCCTGATTTGGACGCAGAAGAGAATTGTAGGATCATAGAGTTGTAGAGGTGGAAGAAACCCTATTTAAATTAAAACAAAAAAAAAATCTTTTTTCTATGTTTGTATAGGTGGGGAAGCATTACCTGAAGCTTGCAGAAGACCAGGATGAGGAGCTGAACAGTTGCAGTGGGGTGGAGTGGTTGATCCTTGCTGCCAAGCAGGGACGAAGGGAAGCTGTTAAACTGCTGAGGAGATGTTTAGCGGAAAGAAGAGGTATGCATCCCTCCTGGTCCTTGACAATTAACACCTCCATTGTGAATTTCAAGAGACTTCTTTTGAGCTTCCTCAAGGATAAGCATGTTAGGAAAATCTCAAGATTTATTTTTATTCTATTTATTTTTATAATATTTATCCTGTGTGCTATGATCCTCCTTGCTAGGTGGGATCTACACACATATTTAAAAAATGCTGTGAAAATGCTTTTTAAAAAAACGTTTTGTAAAATATATTGAATTTCCCATAGCTCACCATCGCCATCTAATGTCACATTTGCATATTGCACTTTACAACGTTTTATTTGCAGCTGTATAGCTCAGTCCCTAGTCCCTGTTTAGTGGTCTAGCAGCTTCGTTTTGAACTTGTTGGAGCATGTGGGTTTTCATCAAAGGCAAAACCCAGCAAGAATGCACTGCAGCCATCTGAGCCTGCAAATTACTAGACAGAGTTTGAGTAACTGAGGTTATGCAGTCTTTGTTCAGGAAAGCCCACAGTTAGTATATTAGCCTTGGCTAACAAAGGGCAATCCATAACACTGAAGCCACTTGATCCTTTAGCAACAGTTATAGATCCAAGAGCTTTCCCAAGCTGCACACCCCATGGTTATGGTGGAGTGAAGCCATTTGCACAAGTCATTGAACAACATATTCCTGAATAGACGAACCACCCTCCATCAGCACCCTCGTGGAATGAGTTTCCAGTTTTGGGCCTTCCTCTAGTCCAGGGGAAAATGTGTGTGGCTGGTGGCTTGCTTGGCCACATTTTCGTTTTTTGTGTGCAGCCACTAACAAGGGGAAGATGAGATTCTTATATTCCAAGAATCTGCAGTTTTGTATACACTTTTAAAGGCCAGACGAGCAGTATGCAGAGGAATACTTAGTATTTACCAACAGAAAGAAAATAATTAGGTTGTTTTTTTTAATGGCATAAGGTTGGAGAAGGGTTGTTGCTCTTGGCTACAATGAGAACCAGAAAGTGCATGTGATTTTTGCAACTCCATTTGCCTCGCTCTCCTGATCAGACTTGGCATCAGCCCCATGTCATGATCAGGCAAAATTCACTTCTCTACTCATCAACAAAACTCTTTTGGGTATGTAATTTATTAAGAAGAGTCTTTGTTCCAAAGGGTATGTAGAGATGCCTTCTGTAAAATACAGTGTGAATTAAGGAGTTGCCTACTTACTTTACCTATATAAGATGTGAATTTAGATTCTATACGAGTAACCTAACTCTGGTTTGAAATGTGAGTTAGTTTTCGCAAGCACTTTGATATCTTTTGAAGTGACAGATTATTAAAAGGTGTCAACTCTTCCCTCAGCCTAGAAGGTGGGATAATCGTACCCAATTCATTTTCTTTCTTTACTTGAGGCATCACTTCAGAGAATGAACAAGAAGTGAAGAAATTATCATCAGAGACTGATTTAGAAAGAGCCGTGAGAAAGGCTGCATTAGTCATGTACTGGAAACTAAACCCAAAGAAGAAAAAGCAGTTGGCTGTTTCAGAACTACTAGAAAACGTTGGCCAAGTTGACAGCGAAGGTTTGTATGCAATATAATATAAAAGATGTACTGAACATGAATAATTCTTCCAAAATTAGAATGGTGTAATTAAACCTTTGCTGCAGGGAAAATTGCTTAAGAGAAAAAAATGTTGCAGTGATAGTCATAGATATTATTTCATTAAAACATGCAAGTGAAAGAGCACATGAACTCCACTGTGCTTTCTGAGAATGTAAAGTGCCTGGAAACAATAGTACCTTATCTATTATAAGAAACAGTCTTTAAACTGAGTAAGACCATGATCCATCTAGCCTAGTATTTTTGCTCCTGTCTGGCGGACTCCTCCAGATTCTCAAGAAGAGACAGGTCCTTCTCGGTCCTATTTCCCAAGAACTGGAGATGCCCAGGAATCATAAGAATGAGTTGATTGATCTGTTAGGTAAATTACATATTCTTTTTCATTAATTGGGATATATATATATATTTTAAAAAACCTATTATTTTTAACCCAAACCCTTATAAAACTTCAGGTAGCACACTTAGGCACAGTATTTTATTTCTGATGTGTTACTGTAATATAAAGTTGCCCTCAAAGTTTAAGTGACATTTAGTTTTTCACACTATCTTCGCTCTCTTTGATTTCTCAAAAATTGCTCCTTCCTATGGCAAATGGGTTTCCATTTAAACAAGAGGCATTTTGGCTAATTAATCAACTTTACATTCTAATCCATTGAAAGCTGTTGATTGAATCCCTGTTGAATCAGCCTTTACATTGCTTTGTTAAAACATGGGGGCCACAGCTATTTTGAAAGAGCAGATTGCTATGCTACACAATTGACTGGTGCAGTATGTATATCATTTGGGTGAGTTTCTCTTTCTTTGAATTTTCCCACTGATGCTGTGTGAAATACCTTGAACAAACAGGTGGTGAGGAACAGACTGGTGGCCCAGTTCCAAAAGCCGTACAGAAGCAAAGAAGGATGCTGGAACGTCTGGTGAGCAGCGAATGTAAGGAAGCATTTCTTCTGTTAAAATTGGATCTTATACACGGTTCGGGCTAATTCTTTTATCAGTTACCTTGTGAGAAAGATGTTGGAGATCATGTCCTCAGAATGTTTTCAGTTGGGCTCAGGATGCGGTTTTCTAACGGTTGCCCTCCAGTACCCTGCTGTGCTGCTCCAAATTGTTTTCCTTCACGTTTGAGTCTTTTCCAAAGTGGGGAAGCAAAAACTTCCCATAAAGAGCCAGCAATGTTCAGCAAGTGGGGACTTTGTTGGGGGAATTGGTGCACGGTCGCTGGGTGACCTTTGACCATACACACTCTCATCATCATCATCATCATCATCATCATCAACTTTATTGCACTGGCATGGCATCATTCACAAAGGGAAGAAAAAGAAAAGCAACAATAACCATAAAAACCATAAAAACACCAGGCACTGCAAATACAATAAACCATGATCATGTCTCCTAGAAGTTATTTGTTGCATACGATAGAATAGCAGGGGGATCCCAGGTAGAATATGCCAGCTTAAATGTTCGAATCACCTGCATCATAACCTTACCTCTCAGGGTTCTTATGGGGGAAACCTCAGGTGCTTTGCTTCTTGAAGGAAGGGCAGAAGGGAGAGGGGCCTTGTGTCCATTCATTGAGGCAGAGGATGGGCAAATAGCTTCTTTTGAGTATCTGAATTGGCCTGCCACTTACTCCCTCAGGGGTTGTATGCTGCTAAAGCAGGGAATGTCATGCTCATTGAGCAGTGCAAGTTGCCTTTTCCAGCCTTAAGGGTTTGGATAATCATCGGGGCCCACCAATAGGATTCTTAAGCCTCTGGGAAAGGGCCACCTCCCCCCCCACCTTAAAGGGGGAGATGAACCTTTTCTCTTAGCCTTCTTTATTCCAAGTGTCAAGACAGTTGTTGCTCAACATTTTCCACCATAACTGTTAAGTTTGAAGTTACAATTCTTTTTCTTTTTTCATAAAGTTATTAGTCCTAAACTTAGTTTTATAGATTCTCCCAATTTGCCTGACAAGAACGGCATAATTACTAGTCTGAAACTTCCTTAGGATTATCACTTGGATCCTAAATGAAAACAACAAGAAAAAAACAGGCAAGAACTAAAAAGACTAAGATCCTGTTTATTTCACAGGATGTTTAAAGGGCTAGTTCATTCAAAGTTCCTGAAATCCACTTTTTAAAAGTAAAGGCATGGCAGTATTTTAATTATCTATTTGGAACTTGGGAATTATTTGTTTGGAACTTGGGAGTCATGGGCTTATCTTCATTTAGTTTACTCATTGGCCATGATGACTGGGACTGATGGAAGCTGGAGTCCAAGATCTGGAGGACCACAGCTTCCCCATCTTTGGTTGATGAGATCAGCAGTTCAGGCCCATAGTTCAGGATTTGCATTTACTGGTGTATGTGACTGGCTGGCTTTGCAGAGTTTCATTTTGCTCTTCATCCTTCGATCGCCATGATAATTCTGAATATTTTCTAGAATTTTATTTCCTCCACAGGCCCCTGCGGCACTCATACAGTTGAATAGGCTTAAAGCTGCATAGTTAAGGACATAGTTAAGGACATAATAATCTTGAACTCATGACTTAAATGGGAGAGTCAAAAGGAAGAGAGTTTTGCCACGTTTAAAATGTTGCAATCGGAATCTACTTTAAATCTAGTCTTGTTGGTTTATATGTGTTGTCACTGCTTAATAATCCACCATTAACCATTTTCTCTCAAGAAAAAAAAAGTTTTAGTAATGCATTTGGTGTTTGCAACTTTCAGCTAAGAATTATATTGCCTTGGATGACTTTGTTGAAATTACCAAGAAGTATGCAAAAGGTATCATCCCAACCAACCTTCTGATGCAGGATGACGATGACGATGAACTGGCAGGAAAGAGTCCAGAAGACCTTCCTCTTCGACTCAAGGTGAAATTTTGTTTAAGAATTAAGTGAGGAGGGCCAAGGTTCTAAGTGTGAGAATTGAATGTAGCCTCATTTTTTCCTTTCCTTTCAATTGCATGGTCTCTCTCTCTCTGTGTGTGTGTGTGTGTGTTTGCACGCGCTCATCCTTCCCCAATCACAACTCTCACTGCAGGATACTTATTGTAAAAAGCTTTAGCAGGTCCATTTCCACACTCTTCATTCTCCTTTTGAAGAGGTTGCTTTTCTACTGGCAGCCAAAATTCTGTGTCTCATCTGTTTCCCACTACAGTGGTGCCCCGCAAGACGAATGCCTCGCAAGACGGAAAACCCGCTAGACGAAAGGGTTTTCCGTTTTTGAGTTGCTTCGCAAGACGATTTTCCCTATGGGCTTGCTTCGCAAGACGAAAACATCTTGCGAGTCTTGCGATTTTTCCCCGCTCCCCCCCTTTTTCTAAGCCGCTAAGCCGCTAATAGCCTTTTAGTCACTAAGCCGCTAAGCCTTTAATAGCCGCTAATCCGCTAATAGGGTTGCTTCGCAAGACGAAAAAACCGCTAGACGAAGAGACTCGCGGAATGGATTATTTTCGTCTTGTGAGGCACCACTGTATAGACTTAATTGATAAACTCATATAATCTGCCTGACCTCTGGTTTCTTTACACTCTCTTTCTTTTTCTCTATATAGACTCTCTACCACCTGGTCCTTGTCAGGCATTTGGGGGTTGGGTTTTTAAAAAATCCTTTAATTTGCAAACCTCTTCATATTGGGGAGCCCCCCCTTCCCCAGTGTGTAGAACCCAGGTTCTCTCTGCAAAAATATATATTTTTAAAAGGACTCATTCCACTTCCATCTTGTATGTACTTGGATCACCTGAGTTCACTATTTCAATGGGATGAAATGGTGACAGGTTTTGTAATGTCTGTGGGCACTAGTTGAGAGCCCAACACAATGGCCTATCACAATCAGCTTGTCGTTAAGAAGAAGAAGGAGAAATTTCTGAAACAGCTGATCAGGTTTGGCTTGATTGTCCATTTTGTCCAGGGGACGTGGGGTGATACGTGATGCTACAAGAGAGTTGTTGCGTGAACTGCATTTTCTTTCTTTCCAGGTGATAAAGTTTCCACTTCATGCCATTATGGAAATCAAAGAGCACCTTATAGATCTTGCATCTAAAGCAGGAATGCATTGGCTGTCCACTATTATCCCAACACACCACATCAATGCTCTCATATTCTTCTTCATCATCAGCAACCTGACCATTGACTTCTTTGCATTCTTTATCCCACTAGTAATCTTCTATCTGTCCTTCATTTCCATGGTGATTTGCACCCTGAAAGTCTTTCAGGATAGCAAAGCTTGGGAAAACTTCCGCACCCTCACTGACTTGCTCCTTCGCTTTGAACCCAACCTGGATGTCGAGGAAGCGGAAGTGAATTTTGGCTGGAACCACTTAGAGCCCTACCTGTACTTCCTCCTCTCGGTGTTCTTTGTCATTTTCTCCTTCCCTGTAGCTAGTAAGGACTGGATACCCTGCTCCGAGTTGGCCACTATCTCTGTTTTCTTCATGGTGACAAGTTACATGAGTTTGGGCGTAAGTGCCGAGCCCTACACACGAAGAGCGTTGCTCACGGAAGTCGCAGCAGGTTCCCTCTCCTTATTGCCGGTTATACCTGTTCATTTGGGCCATTTGAAGCTCTTGGGGAAAACCTTTTACAGCATTCCTGTTGGCCACTTCTTTGTGCTGAATGTGAGCGTTCCTTGCCTTCTGTTTTTGTATTTGTTTTATCTCTTCTTCAGAATGGCACAGATGAGGAATTTCAAAGGCACCTATTGCTACCTGGTTCCTTATTTAGTGTGCTTCATGTGGTGTGAACTGTCAGTGGTGATTTTGAAAGAATCCTCTGGCATTGGGCTAATTCGTGCCTCCGTTGGCTACTTCCTTTTCCTCTTTGCTCTTCCTGTTCTCATGGTAGGCATTGCACTGATGTGCCTCGTCCACTTCATAAAATGGTTCATAACATTAGAGCTCATGAAAATTGTGGTAACTCTTCTGTTATGTGCTGTTCCGTTGCTTTTCCGATGGTGGACAAAGGCCAGCATCTCTGTGGTTGAAATTGTGAAATCCCTAACAAAGAGTTCTATAGTTAAGCTTATTTTGGTGTGGATTACTGCCATAGTGTTGTTCTGTTGGTTTTATGTGTACCGCTCAGAGGGGATGAAGGTGTATAACTCTACCTTGACATGGAATCAGTATGGGTTCTTGTGTGGTCCCCGGGCTTGGAAGGAAACTAACATGGCGCGCACCCAAATCTTATGTAGTCATCTGGAGGGCCATAGAGTGACTTGGATGGGAAGGTTCAAATACGTGAGAGTTACTGACATCGACAATAGTGCAGAATCAGCAGTAAATATGCTTCCTTTTTTTATTGGTGACTGGTTGAGGTGCTTGTACGGTGAAACGTATCCAGCATGTGATCCCCAAAATGTAACCCTGGAAGAGGAGGAACTCTGTCGTCTAAAGTATCTGACGAAACACGACTGCCACATGAAAAGGTTTGACCGCTATAAATTTGAAATAACAGTAGGCATGCCTTTCAATGGAAGCAAGGTTATGGAAGAGGACGATGTAACCAAAGATATTGTGCTGAAGGCAAGCAACGAGTTTAAGAAGGTGTTATTGAACTTGAGGCAAGGAAGTGTCATTGAGTTCAGTACCATCCTGGAAGGCCGTCTTGGCAGCAAATGGCCTGTATTTGAGCTGAAAGCCATTTCTTGCTTGAATTGCATGTCTAAACTTTCTCCTGCAGGAAGGCATGTGAAACTAGAGCATGACTGGCGAAGCACCGTCCAGAAAGCGCTCAGATTTGCCTTTGATTTTTTCTTCTCCCCATTTTTGTCAGTTGCATGCTGAATTTTAATTGTCATATCTGCACAACCAAAGATTTGGCTTAAAAACAAGTTATAAAAATGTTTCAAAGGAATGAAATTAGTTTTGAGTACAATGCACAATGCCATCTTAATAATTTCTGTGCTGGACATGTCTATATGTGAAAAACATTATTTGCCTATTAAAAGCATGAAAAAGTTTCTGCAAGAGCTGATTTTTAACATCAGCCAGAGATATTAAAAGCACTTTATTTAGATAATTCACTCTTCCACTCTTCTGTACTTAAAGCTGACTTCATGGGTGACAACTGTCTAGTGCCAGTTATGTAGTGATTCATACAAAAATATTAACTGTGCTATGAGATAGAAATCGTGTATTCGGTGTTGGAGAATGACAGACTTTTAAATCAGTCATCAGTTTTGCTGAAAGTATTCTTGAACAGGAAAGAAAAGTACTTTGTGTGATCATGGTGGAAAGTCTGAATGGCTAATGTGTCGGAATCTGCGCTGAAGGTGGAAATGGACATCTAGCTAATGGTCTGTATATATGAATACAAACACAAAATTAAACAAGGATTCAAAATCTACATTATAAAGATTTGTAGTCTTATTTGAATGAACTTTTGTCTCACACAACTACCGTTCTAGATTTTACACCACTTTTCGCTTAATAAGCGCAGTATCCCAGACTATGTTCAATAATGGACTACTATAGAGGCCTGCACCCCTCCCTCCTTATTGCCTTCAAGTATGAACTAACAGGTACTTCTCTCCTGCTCTGTGCGAACTTCTTGAATATGCCAAAAGGAAATCCACAATTAGAGGGCAACTCCACAGATTTGGATAGCAGTGTGGCCATGCCCAGCATTTTAAATTGTGCTTCAAGAAATATGGCACCTGTCCTTTACTCAAAACCATTTCTGCTGCCACTTTCCAAGTAAAGGATTAGGTGGGGTGTTCTTTCGGCCGGTGGGGACAAATGGGAGGAAGCTGGTGGAGAGCATAATTATTAAATTTGGAAGTGTCTTGTGTGTGTGAGTGCAACTTCTTTGCTCCTCACATACTTATGAATAGAATAGGGTTGATCTTGTTGTTAAATGTACATTTCAAGTGCTTTGAGAGTGATAATTGAATCAAAGGTGCAATTATTTGATTTAAAGGAGCAACTCTGGAGTAGAATTAAGCACAGCTCAGCTTTTTAAAGAAAGTGTTTATTGAAAAAGCCAGTATCAACATATTTATATATATGTTCCAACAACAGTCAGCTAATTTGTGCAACACAAGAATACAGCCATGAAGCTTTCCAACTAACTGGATTTACCAACTGTATCATTATTTACCTTCTTAAGTTCAAAACCAAAGCAAAAAGATGTTCTTCATGGATTTGGAATGAGTGACATTCATTTCTTACATTCACAAAATTAGATTATAATGGTGATATCGGGGACGCAGATAGATCACTACTGTCTTGAGTTTAGTTCCTCCTTTTTAACGGAAAACTTTGTATTAATGTGGCCTGAAAACCCATTTTATGTAGTTAGAAAGATATTATATAATCCCTGCATAAACCAGTTCGGTAGTTGATGAATAAGATAATAGAATTGAAACTGGGGGAAAGAGTGTGAAGAACAATTGCATCATTGGTTACTGCCAGACAGTGCCCCCGCCACCCCCCAAAAATACAATTTTTAGACATAAAATTCCAGTGTGCAGTTATCATATTTTAAATTACTCTGATTAATGAATAAAGCCGAAAGTTTTTTTTTGTTAAAAAAAGAAAAATGGTTATTTGGCTTTAACAAGAATTCTATACAGTATTCATATTCCTAAAAGTTTTTACAAGAAGACTGGATTGTTCAAATTTCAATTAGAATACAGTGTACATAAATACTGCCAGTGTCTCGTAGAGTATGCAGTAGCTTTATAAACAAACATTCATTCCCAAGTAAAATTACTGTATACATTTCATACTGTATGTGGATTATTGGAATTGATGCTTCTGTACACAATGTCCAGCATCAAGAAAATGGCAGGTGTCCTTCATTTCATGTAGTGTTAACAAAGCTTCTGATTAAAATCATGGTGTCACAGAATCCGTTTGGATTCACTTTCTCCCCTTCTCTTTCCCCGCCCCCCTCCAAATCAAAGTGCAAAGGCATGCAAGTTTCTTTATGACGCCCTCCTCTCATTTATCGAAAGGTCTATGCAGAATAGTGCAAAATTAATTAACAGCAGAGGGATCTTGAGAAAGGCAGCCTGGCCAGTTAGGTGATTGTGCTTTCCTCCATTTAAGTCAGGCCAAGAAATAACTTGGAGATGGTTGACATGAGACAACTCACTTTTGCAGGTTTCATTGAGCATGCTGCAGGTTTTTAAATCTCCACATTTCGTGTCCAAGGGGCTAGCATTGCCAACTCAGTGAGTTCTGGTAGGAAGAGCCGAGTTCTGACGGAAGAGTGATTTAAATGGCGGTGTTGTGACATTAATTGGGACAGTCATTTATTCGTTTTGTGTATCCTGAGGTGAGCTAGTGCCTGTCCTCCTGGCCCTTTTACTTTCTGAACATTCAGAGTGAAACTTTCAGATGTAACAATGGCAGATATTTTGAAAAGTCATTAGATAGCTGTTATCATCATATTCTACCCACCTTACTCAAATTGAGCGGAAAATAGATCTCCTTAAAGAATAATTGCCAGTCCCTCCATAAACCTACTCTGGTATTGCATAGTGGGGGAGAGCTGCGGATTGAAAGAGTCATGCAGCAGTTTTGCTTGACAGGCTGCAGGTGTTGTCCTTAATGGTCCCACCCCCTTAGCTGATACCTTATGATAGTGCCAACCATGCGGTCCTCAGTTGAAAAGCCTTCTTATCTACCTTTGATCTCCGCCACATCTCTTTCTGCTTGCATATGTGCTGTTAGCTACCCTGGCCCAAGCAGTGGCTTCTTGCAAGGTTTCCTTATGCCCCAGATTCTGGCTTAAGGCATCTTTGGGGCCATTTCTGTGCTTCAGTAACTCCTTGCTCTTGGAACTACAACTGGGTTAGTGGGCTTAAACCCCTCCCCCACAAGGGGGATATCCTTAAAAAGAATCACGGAGGACCTTGAACTACGTAGGTGTCCGATTCTTGTGGGCAGTCTTTTAGAAACAATATAAAATAATTAGTGATGAGTGGGACACTGGGCCCTTCTTAACAGAATTTATTTTGAAACATATCTGCGGCAATTGCAATAAATTAAAAGATTTGAGTGGTTGTCTCATGGGGTGGTAGGGGTAGTTAAAAGGGCAAATCCATCTCCATCACACCTGCAGACACTTAATGGGGAGTAAGACCCATTGAATTCAGTGATGTTTGCTTCCAGGTAAAAGGATTAGCATCACATCTCAAACAGCGACCACACCTGTCACCTCTTGGACGGCTGTTTACAAAGAGGAATCCTAGTGCATTTCAGAGTTCATTTTGTCCTGAAATATGTACAGATTGTTTGTAGCCGCGATAGCAATGATGTTCTCTGTTGGGTGCCATGCCGTGTGCAGGATCTTCTTGGTAAAGTCCAAGCTGTCAACACTGATGTCGTCTTTCCTCCTCTTGCCTCCGACACACACCCGCCGAGGTTTGAGAATTGCTCGTGGTTTGCTACTCTCTCGGGAGGCCTCCAACGTAACATCGCGCTTCGTGTTCCGGTCAAACATTCGGAAGAAATTGTTATATGCTCCTGTCATAATGACACTGCAGAGGAAGGAAAACAGGGGAAACGTCACAAACGAAGGGCACAACCTAGTGGGGAAAGCCTCTGCGCAGGAGCCATTGAAATCAGTGTTGGAATTATTTTTAAGATCATTTGAAGATGGCTTTCATTATTTTACCCATGTTTGTGGCCCTAAGTTCCTTTGAGAGGCAGGGCGGGGGATATAAAATCAATAACTACCGTATTTTTTGCCCTATAGGACGCAATTTTCCCCCTCCAAAAATGAAGGGGAAATGTGTGTGCGTCCTATGGGGCAAATGCAGGCTTTCGCTGAAGCCTGGAGAGCGAGAGGGGTCGGTGCGCACTGACCCCTCTCGCTCTCCAGGCTTCAGGAAGCTCTCCGCAAGCCTTGGGAACTCCGCAGGAGTTCCTGTCAGGCTCCCAAGGCTTGCGGATAGCAGCTTGCATCCCGAAGCCTGGGGCGCGCTGCACAGCCCGGGCTTTGTGCAGATATTGGGCAACCCCACAAGCTCGGGGGACAGCAGGGAGGCGCAGCGCCGCCATCCCGCTATTCCCCGACCTGGTTTGGATTCCCCGACCTGGTTTTGGGGGGGAAATAAAGGAAAAAAATGTTTTCCTTTATTTCCCCCCCAAAAAACTAGGTGCGCCCTATGGGCCGATGCGCCCTATGGGGCAAAAAATACAGTATTTGAATAAATAATACGTGGAGTTTTCTTGCTTCGCAGCACCACTCTTCTTCCCCCCACCATCCACTGAAGGGAGCAGCAATATATTTCAGACTTTCCAAACATCTCTTAGAGCAAGAAATATTCCTCTTCATAATCTAGTACATCAGAGAAGCCTTTCCCCTAGGCATCAGCTATAATGGTGTTCTTGACTTGCTCCTCTCATCAAAGTAGCATTGTATGGTAAACAAGACAGTTGGGTGGCTATATTACCTGTCAGATCCATTCCACGCACATTCAAACTTGTCAAAGATGCAATCATTTTCGTAAAGGGAACACAGCTTGCTTCTAAGGTAGTCATGAACCTGTTTCGTGAGCAAAAAGCAGCTTTTATTTCAAGGTTAGACCTTCAATTTTTCCATTTGCCCTCAAAGAACACCACTGCCAACAGCTCTTGGTGGAATCAGCTTTTTAAATGTTGCCTGTACACAAGCATTGATAATAAAATTAAGAGAACAGAACATCTTTCTTGAAGTAACTTTATTGATGGATTATGTTAAGAGATCCAGACATATCTCTCAACCTGCTTTGGCCCTGCTATTAGGAATTATATATGCTTTCATTCAGCTTTGGTCTTCCAGGCTGGCTGCAGCCCTGAACTGGAGCATTATTCTTGGGGCCTGGGGATTAACTGCACAAGAACGTTTGTTGCAAGTCCCATTTGTAAATAAATAGTGAACGTGAAGAAGACTCTCCCTTACCTACAGTAATCCTCTGACACTTAAAAAAATTATTATTTTGAGCACAACTGAGCCAAAGTCAACCCCACTGAGTTAGATGGGACAAAATTATATATGCGATTAAGCACTTGGGGGCCTGATCCTATACATGTCTGCTCAGAAGAAGGGCCCATTGAGTTCAATGGGGCTTGCTCCCAGGCAATTGATAGGATTATCTTAGTTTTAGAGACTGAGAGCTTATTTCTGTTTTGAAGCAATGGCCCTAGCAGCAAACCTGACATTGCTGATTAATTTATTTTTAAGTTCCTAGTTGTGCTATTGCTAATTCCAAGCGAGCTTTCCTCTTCAACATTTAAAATGAATTTCTTTTAAAAGCAACGAGGGCACATTTTGGATAATTTTTAAAGACTCTTCATAGATTTACAGACCTAAATTTATATTTTAATCTTTGAACCAACTTTTCATTATTTGTGGAAAAATTGCACATAACTTAAACCAGTACTACATAAAAGAAGCCAGATCCCATATCTTTTCTGAACTATATTTAATTTATTTGGGATGTGACACTAGTTTCCCTGAAAGAGACTTCTGTAGTAAGCTGAATTACGTAGCTCAATGTCCTTGCCATCCCTGCTTCAGAGGTGAAATTAGAAGAGGCCTATGCTCAGTTTCAATGTACAGTGGTACCTCAGGTTACATACGTTTCAGGTTACATACGCTTCAGGTTACAGACTCCTCTAACCCAGAAATAGTGCTTCAGGTTAAGAACTTTGCTTCAGGATGAGAACAGAAATCGTGTTCCGGCGGTGCGGCGGAAGCGGGAGCCCCCATTAGCTAAAGTGGTGCTTCAGGTTAAGAACAGTTTCAGGTTACGTACGGACCTCCGGAACGAATTAAGTACTTAACCCGAGGTACCACTGTAATGGCACAACCCTATACTCGTTAGATGGGATTTACTCCTAGGAAAGTGGCTACAGGATTTCAGCCCAAATTCCTAGGAAAAGGGGCAAATGTGAAGTGCAGCTTCCACTGCAGTTTGCTGGTGCTTGTCTCAATAGCCATGTTCTCCCACACAAAGCGCTCGCAATAGCAGCTCTCTCGGCTTGTCTGCACTTGTCGCACGCCTAGAAAGCAGTTTTCCATTTGCCCTGCTGCTTTCCCTGAGAAAACCTGCTCTTTACTGCTGAATCAGAACAAACATTAATCTGCAGGAAACCCAACGGACGTTTGCTCCACTTCAGTAGTAAAGAGCAGGTTTCCTTCAGGGAAGTGGTAGGACAAGCAAAAGTGTGGATGAGCCCAAAGCCCCTATTGCTTGCATTGTTCTCAAAGAGTTTCTATATATTTCAAGCCCTACTGGCATGTTTCCAGGCTTGGCTTAACACGAGAGGAGACTAAAGTAAGTTAGCATCCCTGGGAGCTGAAGGACATCACAGGTGCAGTTTAAACAACAACAGCAACAAAGAGGCATTAGGTTTAGGATTTAAAAAGACAGTATTGGATATATGTTGGAGTTTAATGACAGGCACATTCACAACTCCTACCCATGTTCCAGAGGATTCACTTGCCTCTTGCATGGGAGTGAAGGGAAAATTGCAAAATCTGTCAGTTAGCTTTCCTTCTCAGTGGCTCTGAATCATTATAAATTCTTTATGTAACCCCCTTCTGTTTATTTAACGGTTTATATAGCAGTTGTAGCTACTTACTTTTAAGTAATGTCAGGAAAAGCGCTGACTTTTGGCCCTGGAAGAGTTTACTGCTACCACATCCCTTCCTTTAAAAACATTCTCGTACATGTCAAAGGTAATCCAGTCTCCTCTGTATCACAGAGTTTGAAAAGATTTTATCCTAGACTGCCATTTATTAGACCATCATGGTCTAATAAAAACAACAAACACTTACCTGGTATATCTCTACTGGCACTGTTTCCATGTTCAGATCCCAAACCTTGACAGTGAGGTAATCTCTTGCTAGCATATATCGCCCACTGTGGCTAAATTTGACATCAGACACAGAAGAAATAATTTCGGAGAAAAACGAGCGGCTACTAGGGTCTTCAGGCTCTTCAAAAACTGATGAGGTGAAACAACGAGAAAAATATGCCTATTAAGAAGTACACGTCACTTATTTTGCCATGGCATTTTCAAATTGATCAGAATATTACGTTGTAATTTCTTATCTGATTTTTAAAATTTGTTATCCATCTTGAACTTCTGAAAAGTAAAGGCACAATAAAGGTTTTTTAAAAATGTATTTTTAATAGCTGGCTCAAATAACAAATACAGCTCTGCTAACTCAAAACAAGACATATATCCATAGGATTGTCCTGTTAATGTAAAACAGACTTAATGTTTAAAAACGCTAACATTTCCATAGGCGCCGACTCCATGGGGCTTGAGGGGGCTCGAGCCCCCTCAAAAAATTTTTTGGGGGGGCTCAGCCCCCCCAATAATCTCGGGCGCCGGGGGCGGGGGCTCCTGCCTCGCTGCTTCGCAGCACCACCGCCACTGCCAAGGCACTGCCGGGGGGAATTTCCTTCCTCCTGGCGGTTTCAGCCCCGCGAGAACAGGGGAATCCCGACTGGCCACACCTCCCAGCCAGCCAATCGGCTGGCTGGGGGGGCGTGGCTTGCCCTATTTAGGGCCGGAGCCACTTTATTTGCATATTCATGAGCTTATTTATTATTCATGAGCTTTCCCGGGCCCCCCCAATATTTTTTATAAGTCCGCGTCCCTGAACATTTCACACAGTGAAAGGTGCCTAATCACTGCCTAGGTTCTGGTTTTTTATTACTTATTTGTTTCATTGTAAAGCAACTCAGACCAGTTTACAAAATGATAAATCATTAAAATCTGGTGGGGGAGAACCCTACTTTAAAACATACAAAAGTTAAAATATCAAAATAGACTAAAATTACCCCAACTTCCTAAGCATCTGCTTAGGCTTGTCTAGACAAGAATGTTTTTAGCAGGCGCTGAAAAAGAGTTCAGTGAAGGCGCCTGCTTGGTATCAATAGGCAGGGAGTTCCGCAGTGTAGGTGCTGCCATTAAACAAGTACTTACAAAGGCAGAAAGTCTATTATGAGGCACCTGTAGAAGTGCCATTTTCACCAGTCAAATTGGTCAAGTGGGTACATGTGAGGGAAAGCAATCTTTTAGGTAAACTGACCCAAGTTGTTAAGGGGTGTATATACTAATAGTAAAACCTTGAACTTGGCCCAGTAGCAAATGGACAGATCTCTGAGCATGGATGTTATATGCTGGAGAGGCCTCACTCCTGTCAGCAATCATGCTGCAGCATTCTGCACTCGCTGCAGCCTCCAGATCAAGCTCAAGGGAAGCCCCACGTTGAACGCATTGCAGGAACCCCAGTCTTGAAGTAACCAGTGCATGGACTACTGTGGCAAGGCTTTCCTGGTCCAGGAATGGCCGTAGCTGTCAAACCAGCTGCTGCTGGTCCAAGGCACTTCCAGCCACTGAGGCTCCCTGAGCCTCCAGGGGTGGAGCTGGACTGTCAGGAGTGTGTGCAGGAGGCAGGCCCTGTGACTGGTAGGGCTTCGCAGGTCTGGGGCTTTCCTAAGTTTGTTCTCAAGAGGCAAGGTGCGGCTGCACAGGTGAGGCTGATTGGTAACTCACAGCACCTGGTGGCAAGAGCTGGAAAGGGATATAAGGTCAGCATGGAGAGCCAGTGTGGTGTAGTGGTTAAGAGCGGTAGTCTCGTAATCTGGGGAACCGGGTTCGCGTCTCCGCTCCTCCACATGCAGCTGCTGGGTGATCTTGGGCCAGTCACACTTCTCTGAAGTCTCTCAGCCCCACTCACCTCACAGAGTGTTTGTTGTGGGAGAGGAAGGGAAAGGAGAATGTGAGCCGCTTTGAGACTCCTTAAAGGGAGTGAAAGGCGGGATATCAAATCCAAACTCTTCTTCTTCATTTCCCTTTGGCTCTTTGCCACAGCAACACACTTCCTGCCTTGCTGCGTTTGGCTTCTGGACTCCTTGCTTCCTGATCCTCGGACCCTTGGCTTCGTGACTCCTGGCTTCCAGACTCTCATTCCTACTCCCACCCTGCCGTCTTGCTCCCGGTCCCGACGTCCTCCACCAGGGCTTCGACTGCCCGTAAACCGGACCATGACATGGGCCCAGAAGCACTCCCAACTGCAAAGCTGCTCCTTCAGTGGGAGTGCAATTCCATCCAGGGTAGGGAATGGGCCAATTTCTCAGAGATGGGAGCTACTCACTCACCGTGCCTCCATCATGCCAGGATTCAAGCTCAGCTCGTGTTCCTCGTCCATTTCACCCCTGTGCCCATCGGGGGGGGGGGGGTCAGTTCTGACACGACACAAGGGTTTTCAGGCAGCCCACACTCTCCAAGGCGAGCCTCTAGTTTCCTGGGTTGCTTGAACTAAGCATGATTCAACTCCCACTCATCTTGCAGAGAACAGTCTCACCTATAGCCAATTCAGGATTTACGGTAATCCTGTCCTCCTGCCCCAGTGATATTGGCTGTTGGGCAAGTGGCTATGGTGTGGGGGGGGGGGCGGGGGCAGAATGGTCATGGCGCTTATTAGTGAGCCATCTCTACTTTTAATGAGCGCATAAACAATCACCTCCACATTCAAGTAGGCCATATGCAGACGTCAACATTTTTTAAATGAAAATCTCACTCGGTAACTTACGTTTAAAATGCTTGTCACAGAGCGCTGATGCCCTCATGTCACAAAGTCTCAAAGACCCTTTGCTACTGCTGTAAACAAAGAGATTGCAGTGGTGAGGATGGAATTCAGATGCCGTAATAACTTCTGTCAAATCCTCCATGTTGGCTGGCTTTATATCTACAATGTCTGAGTGGAAATATTTAGTAAGGAACATGTTCAGAGACAAACTGTTATTCTCTACCATCTTTTCATGTATGCTACATTACTGATTTCTCATTGAAAACGCTACTGAATTACAGCTAGGAAGCTAAAAATACCTTTTATTAGCTAATCACATCGGCTATGTACATTTTATTAGTCAAAACCACTTGTTCTGCTAAGCTGTTGAGGATGCAGTTGATGCAGTTATGGGACTGACAGTGAAATCTGAGAGTTTGAAAAAATCTCCATTAAAACCCATTAAAAGAGGAAAAACTGGGCCTTTTATGCATCAGGTATTGCCTTGGCAACCAGGCTGAAATGCGCCCCCCCCCCAATGTTCAGATAAATATGATTTTGTCTGTGAAGTAGTGATCCAAGTTCTGTTTGGGGATTTTGAAGTCCACAATCGGCCTCTTTGAAAGAACTCCTGGGCTGATTCAGACTCTGCTCACAATCAGCAGGAACCTCCTACCACTGCCGTAGGCGCCAGCACTCATCCCATTATTTGCTAATATATATCTGCCATTATCTGTGTGTGACAATGAGAAGAACTATCATTGCACTTTGTCATAACCTTTTGCTACTGCTTTATGAGCTTCAACATCCCTGAGAAATGTAGTTTTTCAAACAACCTGTTTTGTATTTTTGTAGGGATTTAATTCATTGACCAATTTAGTTATATCTTTCTAACCTTAATCCAGTTTATAGCACCTGCCAGGAGAAAGCTACATTAACTCCTCTGCTGGCCTAGACTAGAGAGAATTGCTGATTTGTCAATTTGGCCATAACCGTCAGACACTATCTACTAGATATTTTAGAAAATAGTTTGCCTGTTTCGTTGTTCTCTGTGCCTTTGGGTGCCTCTTGAGATACTGTCACCAAATTTGATTCAGGGGTTCCCAGAGTGGAGGCAATGATCTTTGCTGATGCTTGGACACCAGGCACCATTTTGAATCAAGATGGCAGACCAAAATGTGAGCTTGGTGGGACTTGACCTTTTTTGTACTACAGCATAGGTTTGGCCTTCTCTCTATATCATCATCAAACTTGGAACAAGGGTTCCCAAGGTAACGTGGCAGACTTTGTCACCATTTGGACACTGGATGTCATTTTTAATCAAGATGGTGAACAAAAACGTCATTTTGGCATGACTGCCCATTTTTTATACAGGGCCACTGCTAGCTAAATTCTGGGGGAAATGGAATGGGGTTGTGTGAGATGGGGGGGGGTCACCATAAGCAATGCCATGAGGTGTACTGAGACTGTGGCCTTGGTGGCAGGCTCCTAGGGTGGCACTGCCACTGTCTCATGACTTTGGGCACCTGCCACTTACCATGGCAGGGTATTTACCACCTCCTGTTCCTCCATTGTGGTGGCTGTGCTCTGCCACAATGGCCAAGTCCTGCTGCGCTGTCCTGGAGGTGGCCAGGGGGTCATGGCCTTGGTTGGGCTGCAGAGGAGGCAGCAGGCACCCATTTGTGGCAAGCAGCAGGTGCCTGGTGGTGGCAGGGGGCAAAGATCAACAGGGGGGCAGGGAGAAGCACTGGTGATTTTGCCTCAAGTGGCAAAACCTCTTGAGCTGGCCCTGAGAAGAGGGTTAGTAGTGAAAAAGACTTGATATCTCATTGTACTTTCCAGCAGAGAGTGGATATTCAGGTGGGGTCAGGGGTGCCAACTGAGGGCGGGGAGCTAAGGGCCCCCCAAATTTTCAAGGATGGGGCCGGGCCCCCTCAAAATTTCACAGCAGCTGTGCACACACACCGTGTGATGCACTCGTGTGTGAGTGACGACAGCATGTGCACACAGTGTATGCACATAGCATGGCTCTGCCCCCTTCAGTCACGGGGGCGAGGGGGCGTGCTGGAGTGGGGTGGTAATGCAGAAGTCTCCAGGCGTTGTCATTATTGGTTTGTTTGCTTAGTACCTTAGTTACTGTCAGGGAGCTGACATCGGAGCCAGAGGCAGAGGCTAGGCTCTCCAGCGATGCTGGAGAAGGGCCCAGCAGGGGGAGAGGTGGCTCACCAGCTGGGGAAGGTAATCAGCGTAACACCAGGGATAAAGGGGGGCAGATGGGGGAATCGGCGAGGGGGCTCCAGGACTCCTCGCCGGAGATCAGCGAGGAGAGCACGGGTCCTTCGCTACCCACGCCCTCCCTGCACAGAAGACTTCCGCGCAGGGAGAGTAGGAGGAGACTTGGAGTCAAACAACTTTTATGCTGGAAAAGGTTTAAGAAACGCCCACTGACGGATTCTGCTAGCGACTGAGGCAGCCACGAAGTGAAGGGCTGTCCAGACAGAAAAGGTTTAACAAGGCAACCTAGCCAGGAGTGGCGGTAACTTGCGCACGAGCGACCCCTACATTTATTACAGTTACAAAGCAGCCAGAGACTGAGATGACTGAAATGCATTGAAACAAAAAACTGTAGTAGCTGGCTAGTGCGCGTAACCATGAGAAAGGATACTGAAGCTTCGATCTGTAATTCCTAAATGCCAGAGATTAATCCGAAGATCATCTGCTGACATGTATGTCTCACAGTCACTGTTGACAGAAATTGAATTGACATGATAGGTGTGGCCGTTAGCAAAAATTCTTCTGGGGCTGACTTCTACCATCAAGTCCGTGGGTTTCAGTACGGGCACCTACATAAAAAAGTAATAAATAAATGTGTTTTAAACAACATTTCAAACTTGGAGCTGTTCATAGATTTGTGAATTGTGAGTTGAACTTGGTATATTTTAAAACATTTGTCACTATTTGAGAACTTCTCAAAACATACATACAACATACAAGACAATATTACACAATACATAAACCTTTTTTTAAAAAATATATCCAAGTATGAACACGCATTTGAATCATAATGCCAATTGTATTTAGCTTGCTCAAATGAACAAGTCACCTTGAAAAACCTTTACATTTGGTTCAAGGATTCTCACTTGGATTTTTTTTCCACTGCAGTTGTAAACAACTTGATGGGATATAAAGGTAAAAGTAAAGGGACCCCTGACCATTAGGGCCAGTCGTGACCGACTCTGGGGTTGCGGCGCTCATCTCGCTTTACTGGCCGAGGGAGCCGGAATACAGCTTCTGGGTCATGTGGCCAGCATGACTAAGCCGCTACAATGCAGAAACCATTCATGTGGGGAAATCGAGGCCTCCTTTATGGTTCTCCCTTCACCCTCTCCTACAGCCGTAAGTCTCCAAAATTTGACTTCATTACTTAGGATCTGCCACAAACTTTTCCACTCTTTCATGTAAAATGCCAGCTTCCTTTGAATGTTCCAATCTTGCTTCCCTAATCTGTCTGGATTTTATCTTTCCCCCCATTCCTGTGCTTCTTATCATAGCATATGGCTGATGGGTAAGTGTCTTTATTTACTCTCCAAACATTGGTTATGTGTGGCCTTAAAATAGACTATCTCCTGTTAATTTTTTATAACCCTTCATCTTCCAGGCATTGGAGCCTAAGATGGCGTCTAAGATGTAAGTTTTACTAATAGAACAGACCAAATTGCCTGGTTCATCTCTGTGTCTGCACAGGTACCTCAGTTAGGCTTTAGACACAGGAAATGGTAACATCCAGGGGCTACTGGGAACCATGAGAAATTTGACACCCTTAGCTCCCAGCTTCCCTGGCTGCTGTTGTGCATTCACATGCCTATTCACATGTTGTTGTGTGGCATTTCAAGTGTTTTCCATTGTTTGAAGCTACGCAGCACATAAAATATTAGAACATCACGAGTTGTTCTTTCAGTGAAGAAAACAACTCTCCATCTACCCACCTGAAGTGATGTCACCGTAGAAAGATCTTTAAGCTTCCCCTCTTCATCCTTTAAATTGTACCCCTCAGGTTTCTTATCTCGTTCAGTGATCTTCCACAGTTTAATAGTTTTATCTTTAAAAAAAAGACATCAGCACTGTTATGAGAAGTAACTGTGACATTTTCCCTCATTTTAAAATATAAATTATTATTATTATTATTATTATTATTATTATTATTATTATTATTATTTATACCCCGCCCATCTGGCTGGGTTTCCCCAGCCACTCTGGGCGGCTTCCAACAAAATATTAAAATACAATAATTAATCAAATAATAAAAGCTTCCCTAAATCACTGTATAAGAATTATTTGTTCTACAAAAGGAAAAACATGCATATTGTATGTATTAGTTTAGACACATGGACTGCTGCTCCCCATAAAGCAGAAGGCACCTCTCATTGGAATTGGGGAGGGGGCATGATTCATTCTTCCCCTATGCTTTCCCCAGATCTGCTCCAGATGGTTCCCCATGTCTTCCATCTTTTAATATTACACACACTGTTAATGTAGTCAATTGTGCTGTTTGCCAAACTTTTTATTTATTCATTCTTTTCTTATTTTTTTTATCACTTCCCAAATTGTTTGGTATAACCAATGTAGCCACTATTAGGAAACAGGAAGAGGTTATACAATTTATTTCTGCACAATCATTTTGTGACTGGCTCCACTGCCATATTATGACTGGTTCTGCCCATGTGCCAAGGGCCATCTTGTCACTCCCCCCCCCCCGAGTAGCACCCGGGGTGACATGCCCCCCCCACTTCGTACGCCCCTGTGCCCATCTTTACTCCCATAAAGTGAAGATACATCATAACCTGCTGCCACTTCCAAGGTTCTTTTTTACACTAAAAATGTATATTTAAATTTAGATGTAATTCATCAAATTTTCAGCTGAAGCCCATCTGCCAGAGACAAGGAAAAACTGTGAATCCTATATTGTTCCTGCTGTCTTACCATTTGTGGACAGAAGAGAGTGGGCTGCATTCTGTTGCGGCAACCACTTTATCTTGTTTATTTTTCCTCTATTTCCAAACTCTTCAGATAGTCAAACTCTGGTTCATGACTCTGGAAGGTGCTGTAAACATTGTATTCACCTTGGCTATAAGGCTCATTTTTACTCTGTGAAGAACATAGGACAAACAAAAAACGAACTGTTGACCTCAGGGCTTATCTGATCTTTCAAGTTGACTTGATCCAAATAAACCATATGTCCAATGGCAACCAAGAAGGAAGGGAGCCTATATACTTACCATTACAGCAACAGGTCGGGCCATGGCTTTCGCTGGGCATCTGCTTTCAGAACGCAGGATTTCCATTTAGTTCTGATAGCTGATAGCCACTGCTAGATCTGCCCTCCGTGACGTTATCTAATAATTTCTTTTTAATCTAAACTAGTGACCACCTGCCCTTGTGGTGGTGCATTCTGCAAGGTAATTTGTTATGTGGAAAAGTACAGGTTGGCATTCAGCTATGCTGTACTCAGAGCAAACCCACTGAAATCAATAAGCATGACTAAGTTATGTGTATTCTGAGTAAAACTTAGTTGAATATCACCCACTCTCTTGACTGTTCTCAACCTATTGCAAATCAATTTATTTGCACAAAGCTTCTACAAGAGGAGAAAATTCCTCTTTCCACCATTCTGAATGTTGCCTTGCAGCATCACCTAGCTGCACCAGGAGAATTACTGCTACTGGAAAAGCCAATACAGTATTATCTCACTTTGAGAGGACAAACCAAATTTTAAAAATACAAGGCGCACCAATGCCTTCCAAGCCTTAGCTTCACTGTTTCTAAACCTAGGGCTTAACTTAGTTTTTCTTTCCAACAATCGCAAACAATCTTTTCGGAAAGTTTCGATTTGAACCACAAATAAGAACCTTTACATGTAACCATTACATTATCAAGCATGCATTCGAACACGACAAAAATAGCCAGTGTGCAATTAAAATAAGCCCAGAACAGTCACATCTATTGTCCTGCAAACAACAGGGGAATAGCAGCTTGTGCATCATGATGTTTTTTTAAAAATATTCACAGGGTGCTTGCAGTCAGCAGTTTAATTTGCAAACAGGTCCTTGGCAAAGAGGGTTTTTGTAGATATCAGATTTTCGTAGACGTTTGTGTGCGCACGCACAGATGAGCTGGCATTTTGCTGCCAGTGACATCATGAAGATGCTGCAAAAAAGAACTTGCAAAAGCAAGGAGCACCAATGCCACAATAAACACTTATGGGCAGCTAGAGTAGCTTTGGAGAATACCGTATCAGCATTTTGTGTGTGCACAGGGCTTGTGGATCAGGACATGGAAGCTAACAGTATGGTCAAACAGAGGGTGGGGTTATTTGCTGTTGAATACTGTAGTAAGAGGCATTCCTTCAACAATCAGAACACCTTTTTAAAAATTCATACCTCTGGCTCCCTTTGGAATATAACAACTCGACCTCCTTTATCCCCTGTTGCCAGCAACTCTCCTGTGTGGTTGAACTCAACAGTTGAAATAATGTCAGCTGTGAAAGAAAATGTAGAAAAATCAAATTACAGAAAAAACCGCCCATCCAAAATGCCAAATATTTCACAATGAGTTACTTGGGTTTTTTCCCCCTTTCTTTTCCTGAGCCCCACCTTCATTCCGCCACAAGAGAACTTTAGCATTTTAAGTCACAGAATTACAGACCTGGTGGGTACCTCAAATGCCATCTAGTCCAACCCCCTGCCAATGCAGGAAATCCCCAACAGCACGCCTGATTGATGGCTATTTGACCTTTATGTAAAAACCTCTAGTGAAGAAAAGCCCAGCACCTTTCAATCATCTGTTCCATTTTGAACAGCTCACACTGTCATGTAGCTCTTCATGGAGTTCTGTCAGGAAGTAATACTTTTTGTCATTTAATCCATTGGTTCAAGTGATATCCTCTGGAGCAACAAATAACATATTTGATCCATCCTCTATGTATTTGTAGTATGCCAAGTATTTGAAGATGGCTATCCTATTACCTCTTAATTGTTGGCATCTATCTTGAGAGACAATGGAGTACGCCTCCGGGGGTCAAACCTCTGCGTTAGCTGGCACAAAAGTGACCTCCTTCATTCTAAATACAGTATATTCAGTTCTTTCAGCCTCTCTTTATAGGACCTTGCCATATCTGTCACCATTTGGACACATTCCAGTTTGCATCATATCCTTCTTAAACTACAGTGCCCTGGAGGAGGCACAATATTCTAGGTGAGGACTGACCAAAGCAGAATAGAGTGGTACTTACTATGATCTGTAATTCTGTTAATGGAGCCTAGAATTGCTTGAACCTTTTAAGCCACCAGATCACACAGCTGATTCATGTTTAGCTTGTTGTTTTCTAAAACACTGACATCCATTTGACTTGTGCTGCTGAGAAGCCAGATGTCACCCATCTAGAAACCAGTTCATTAAATACAGGCCACTAAATGGTAACAGGAACTAAACCACCAAAATACTCCTCCATATCAAGCTCCCTGACTAATTCAGAGCACTAAAAAGCTCAAATATTTTCACTCACTTGCTATGAATAGTCTAGCTATAGGGGAATAATTTTTAATCTATTTGTAACTGATGGAGAATACGTACTTTATATGCTATACAACACAAGAACAGTGCAAATTATTCTGAATTTAATTATCTGAATAGTATTCCACATTCACTTAATTGCACAGCCACTTTCATTATTCTTCTGACACCCATTGGCACAACCCCCAATGATCCTTGAGAGTAATTGGATCAAGAGGAGGTGAACTTCTGATGAAGCGCATTAAGAGATGATGGTTATAAAACAGCTTGGACCCAGATGCTGACATGACATCACCGAAAGCTAATTAGCACATCTAAATTCATACGATCATGATTCCAATATTAAAGAAATATGTACACATAAAATGAGCAGTGGAATAATGGCAAAAACATCAAACACAGCTACTTTGCATTTATTAAAATACTTTTTATTAATTTTTCCAACTCTGAACAACAAAACTTCAAACTACATGTGTCCTGCACAAAGAAATAAACATAATCATTCTCAAGCACAGCAAAATATTTACAATGTAAACCGTTAAAGAGATCATATTGAAGAAGGGTATCTTCTTTAAAGAGGACACTGAGAGTGAGGACAATGGATCAAATGATCACTAAAGTTGACATAACTAATAAACTGAAACCAAGTGTCCTGAAACCTACATCTTTGGATTTCACTCCATGCCTTCTTACATTGCTTAGTCAGTTTTTCATCAAATGCTAGTGGCCATATTCAGGCGCAACACCTGTGGGTAGAAAGATTGCGCACATCCTTCCAGTTGAGCACTGTTTCCATGAGCACTACTACCATTAATTTGAATAGATGATCCTTGTATGTCAGCATAGTATGAGTTCCAGCTTGGAAAGAAGCGTTAAGGCAAGATCTTTCTCTGCTTGTATAGCAATGGCATAAATGTCATCCTAGGCTATTTATTTTCTGGATTACTGGACAATAAAGGGGCTGCTTTTATGGATTAGTGAAGTATTTTATTACTATTGTTCAACACTTTACAGGCCAGTGGTATCAGTAAAATAAATAATAAAGATTCTCAAAATGTATGTTCCTGATGCTACAAACAGTCACTTTTGCTAATCTGGACTGTGCTAGGCCTGCCAAACTACCAGCTACAACAGACTTCAGGAAGCAGGAGAGCAGCCATGATGGATGTCCATGGATGACAGGTTCAGTTCTCAACCACCCCTGTGTGGGCCTGTGGAAACGACTGTTGACTCTCAGTAACAGTCACATGAGACCCTGGCAACTTGGATGGCAATAAGATTAATGACAACATCATACCATCACTGTAACCTTTTGAAAAGATGCTAAAGAACAGGAAGAGAAGAACGATAGTGTCACACTGGATATGAAATTATAAAGACTGTAAAAGTTTCAAATGAATGCACCAGAATGTATCCCAGTTACACTGATGGTAGTCATCCACAGTCTACTTCTTAAATGGACTAGCCTATATAAGTAATGAAACTTATGTGAAATATAGGAGATTTCACCCTCCTGGTCCAGGTTCTGATCAATATAAAAGGTGTTCAAGTCATAATTTTCTCCATCTCTCCAGCTCTGCTTCAAATGCTTCCAGCCACCTGATGGCCACAGGACCCTGGCTCACAGTACTTCGAGTGGTAACTACTGGGGCTGAATTTATGACAGCGCTATTGCAGCAATTCTTTCCAGGCCTATGCCAGCAGGTGCCCCAGATTCTGAGCTTTTCTCTTTTTAAAAAACGTATCTCAAGCCCTTCTAGAAAGAAAGTTATGAAGCATAATGCACAGGCCAGCTTCTAAGCCACGGGTGTCAAACACAAGGCCCGCGGGCCGAATCCGGCCCGCCAGACCTCGTCATGTGGCCCGTGTAGCCGGCGGCCACCAGCCTTCACCTTTTATTCTCGCTTTTTTTTTTTGACACAAGAAAGCCGCCTCTTCAGCGCATGCGCAGCAGCCTACAAGCCAGAGAACGTCTGCCCTCTAGCGGCGCCAGCCGTTCTACACAGGAAACCTCCACTTTACATGCATTCAGGAAACCACTTCCGTGGTTACAACCGGCCCTTTGAGGGTGACCAAACTGCTGATGCGGCCCCCGATGAATTTGAGTTTGACACCCCTGTTCTAAGCAATTTCTGGGAGATACCTCAGACTGAGGGACAAGGGTGGCGCTGTGGGTTAAAGCACAGAGCCTAGGACTTGCCGATCAGAAGGTCGGCGGTTTGAATCCCCGCGACGGGGTGAGCTCCATTGCTCGGTCCCTGTTCCTGCCAACCTAGCAGTTCGAAAGCATCTCAAAGTGCAAGTAGATAAATAGGTACCGCTCCGGCGGGAAGGTAAACGGCATTTCCGTGCACTGCTCTGATTCGCCAGAAGCGGCTTAGTCCTGCTGGCCACATGACCCGGAAGCTGGACGCCGGCTCCCTCGGCCAATAAAGCGAGATGAGCGCCGCAACCCCAGAGTTGGCCACGACTGGACCTAATGGTCAGGGGTCCCTTTACCTTTACCTTTTACCTCAGACTGACTCCTCCTGCCTTTCAGTGTTTTTAGCCAATATGTGAAGTTAGAGCTGTGATTTGTTTGTTTCATAAAATTTATACACCGCTTGCTTGTTAAAAAACCACAAAGTATTATTGTACTTTATTTTGAAAAATAAACTACTACATTCTGCAAGACAGGTGTCCCGTTTTACTTGTACTATAGCCACATGGATTCTTTTTCAGTTAACATCATTCTGATTCCCAAAGTAATGGGCTGATGTTTTTATTCCCGTAACAAAAAGTGATATGCCGCACACAAGTATTTTGTGTTTCTCAAGTGAAAATGAATCAGGAGGCTGGTTGGTCTGAACAGGCATACTGCCATAGCAACCAATCAGTGGCCCAGCTACTACATGCCTGAATCACAGCTTTATTGCACCAAAGCCAGCACAGTGACTGATGCCAATGAGATTATACAAAAAAGTCAGTATTAGAATTGGAGGATAATGGCTTAGCTATTGGTTTTGTGTCCTGTGGTTTTTCTTTATAGCCTGAAAAGTATGCCAGGTAAACCTGTGGTTATGTCCATGGATTCCACAGAAGCATGTATGTAATTTCTTCTTTAATTTCTGCTAATTTAAATGTATCCCTGTTGTGTTTCATGACTCCCCTGATTTTGTATGTGAGCTGGAACTGGTCTGTGACCGAAATAATAAATTCATTCATTCAATTTCTTTTTTAATATCTAGCTTGAATATCATAGAACCAGGGTCCGCAACGCAGCATCTAGATGCCCCAGGACCTGCTGTTCCCTCAGTGAGGTGGCCAAGCTTGCAAATTATTGGCATTTGGTTAGTTAAGGTGAAAATAGGTCTAAAAATAGAGAATCCTTGGATGCCAAAATCCAGGTTTGGAGCTTTTGCTTTATTGAAATCTGTCTCTTCACTGAAATAATACATCTTGCTTCTCTTGATAGAAAAATTGGGAATTGTGACTTCTGTAATGGTTGGACTGTAGCTTAAGAACATGAGAAGATCCTGCTGGATCAGGCCAGTGACCCATCTAGTCCAACACCTTCTTCTCACAGTGGCCAGGCAGGTGCCTATGAGAAGCCCATGAACAGGACCTCAGCACACTCTCTCCTGTTTCCAGCAGCTGGTATTCAGAAGCACGGCTGCCTCCAACACAGCCCTTGTGGCTAACAGCCCTCGATAGTCTTGTCTTCCATTAATTTGTTGCTTTTAAAGCCATCTAAGTTGGTGGCCTTCACTGCCTCTTGTGGGAGCAAATTCTATAATTTAACTATGTGCTGTGTTAAAAGGTATTTTCTTTTTTTCTGTCTTGAATCTTCCAACATTCAGTTTCACTGGATGTCTCTCCACTTCCTCCGCACCTTGCATGATTTTATACACTTCTATCATTTTCTCTCTTACTCTTTTGTCTAAACTAAAAAGCCCAAAATGTTGTAACCATCCCGCATAAGGAAGC